ATGATCCGGATATGGTGTGTAGTTAGTTTGTAGTTCGTTTTTTTTTTAACTGCTTCTTATGCCATTTTTTTAATCATGCAGCTGATTCTGGGAAATTATGGTCTCAGCTATGACCAAAGCAAATTACAAATGGCGGTTTGGGCCATATTAGCAGCACCGCTGATCATGTCAAACGATTTGGCCGCGGTACGTCCTGAAATCAAAGCGATTTTGCAAAATCGGTTAGTTTTGTGAATCAATGCTTATCAATTTCATCTACTCTATATTAAAATATATTTTATCTCCATACAGTGAGATCATTGCGGTGAATCAGGATCCCTTAGGTATTCAGGGTCGTCGTGTGCTTATACAAAAGAATGTTGAAGTTTGGACACGTCCAATTACGCCAAGGAATGCAGCGGGGTAAGTTTGGGGGTACAAAAATAGATGGTATATGAATGGTATGTATGCACATTAGACCGTACCACCTTACAAGCAGACAAAAATAGGTCGCGTACACCGCTGAGTAAAAAGTATTTTTGCAAGGCAATTTAGAAAAAAATATATATATATGGTTTTTGGTAAAATATTCGGCAATAAAATCTCTTTTTTTAAATATGTAGTTCTACTGGAATATTCAAAAAACTTCCTTCGAAAAGTTTAATGATTTTAAGAGAGCTTTAGTTTGTTGACATAAGGGTGTTATGTTAGGGTGGTAGGAGCTAAGATCTAGTGGGTAAGTCTTGAACGAGGTACTTGAAGTCAATGAAACAAAAAAAATCTCCTCGAGACCAGAACATCCATTTATCGTACTTTCAGATCCGGTGGTAAATGCCAATGTAAAAATCGAAATTGTCTTGCAAAAATTCTTTTGAACCTGGTTTGTACGGCGAAATTTTTTTTCTGGTACGGTCTAATATACATTCATACAGATTTATGTATTTCTGCTTTTTTCTTAAGGGATTATTCATATGCAGTGGCATTTGTCAACCGCCGCGCAGATGGCGCTCCCTATCCGATCGGTTTTAACCTAAAAGATATGGGATTACGCAGCCAACGAGGCTATGATGTGGTGGTAAGTGAAATATTTTGTGTAAATGAACTTTTTAAAATTAATTACTCAAATTATGAATTATTATTCAATAAGAAAAGTTGAGTTTCGACGAAACCGCTTCAAAAAATAAACACCCTTGAATATTTAATGATTACACTGTACGGCAAAATCAACTTTTTTTCTGGGTATTGAACCAAACCAATTTTTTTAAGAGATTGATTACAAAACCTAAAAATATAGACGTAGTCCTCCTATTGCTCTTATTTAAATGGTATATAACTTTTTTTGTGCATATTACAGGTGCTATAAGGGGTCAAAGTTCAGGTATTCGGAAAAATTAAATTCCTTATATTGCAAACAATTTTGAACTGATT